CCAGGCTGATTTTTTTTTTTTTTTTTTTCCCCTCCTCCCATGGCCTATTTCCATTGTAGATCTCCAGCATCTACAACCACCATAGCATTGTAGAAGGTACATCCTTGCCTGTTGTTTTTAGTATCCCTTTATGTGCCTATTGTCTAGTAGAAGTATCCAGAGTGTATCACCTTTGTATTGTCTAAATTACAATTGTTGAGCTCCAGGTTATTTGGTTTTATAACCTTAGCTCGTAAATATCTCGCGTTGTGCTGTTAGGTTCATCGGCTTTTGAACAGAGCATTATGATACAGCTCTCAATAATTTATCTGTGCTTTTTAAACTGAGAGATCTGTGTGCAAATGATTTTGTTTTCTGCAGCTGAAATAGCAACTAGAATTGCCTTCCAAAGGCAAAGTGGCAGCATATCTTTAGACAAGTGACTTTTCCTGAGTGTGTGTAACATGATAGGCATTCCTTGTAGGAAAGAGAGGGGTTGGGTTCTTGATATAGCCAGAAGCAAACCAAAAAGGTTGCTGTGTTTGACATGATTAGTGTATTAAAATACAAAAAGTGTAGAAATGAACTGTGTATATCTTTGTTGTTGTGTAATCCAAGTACTGAACGTACAGATCTTAGTGCATTTGTTGGCTCCATCTCTTCTCCTGCAGCCCTTTTATATTAAAGAATTTAGAAATGGACATGGAAAGCTGTAGCAATAGTGGTGAGAGATGTCTGTCATGGACACCATTCCTTTGAGAAGGAGATGCTTGCAAGGAGTTTTTGCTGCAGCTATATAGAAAAAGCTATTTGTAAATTGCACAGATTCTTAATTGTTTGCTCTCTCATATGCTTTTGGCTCTTAGGGACAAAAACTTACGTAATAAAGCCAGATAGAACCATAGAATAAGCTAGGTTGGAAGTAACCTTTAAACATGATCTGGTCTAAAACACTATACCAGGCAGGTCTTCGTTTTTCATACAGGTTTCTTTCCTACAAACTCGGAGAAAGCATTTGTTACTCTGAAGTATAAAAATTTGTAAACAGTTATTTGGAGTGTCTAAATTACATTGCATTTTTACAGTGCTGCTACGAAGAAATGTTTTTGTTTTGCTTGCTTTGAAATCTCTGACATTCTTGATCAAAATTTACTTGGTAATACTAAGTATTCAATTTGATTTCCATGCAAGAGGGTTTAATCACAGAAACATGCATGAGCAATTGAGATATGTAGCTTCTAAGAAGACTGAAGGATAGAAAGGACTACAATTGGCAGTAACATACCAACCGAACTGGTTCAGCCAGCTCTAGAACTAGAGGTGGTGGTGTTGTACCTGCAGTAAGTTGTCTACGCAGCTTGTTGCTTTAACTTGGGAGCAGCATGGCACTAGCTCCTCTGCACTCTTTCTGGAAGATGATCTGGCATCTTTGCCTGCCTGTGCATTTTACCAGTGCAGTGTAATATTACAGCAGCCTTGGAGCTGCTTCGTGTGTTCATTCCATTCGTTGTGTATAGTGTTATATGCCTCAGGTTAGGAAAAAGGAGAGACCGGGGAGTATATGAAGAGGAACAAAGGGCAAAAGTAATTTACTTTCAAGAGAAGCTGTTTTGGGGGGGAGGGGGGTGGGAGTTCAGTGTGAAACAGGCATGTTGCTGAATTTAATCATCTTTAAGCTGCTGTAGAGGGTCATATTCAGCACAGATCTTTTGCAAACCAAGGAAATGTATGGTAGTTTGCCTCCTCTGAAAACACAGCTCTATTTTCCTGCTCTCAAAATGTGGAACAACTATTCATATTAAAATACCTGGTTTGTACAGTGGCTGAACAAAGAATTTAAATCTGTAAGCACCTCCACATTTTTAATACAGTAAACATTTTAGAAGTTTTAAATTATCGTCTTTCTATTAGCTCTTTGTAGTTTGACTTGCATTTACTGTCCTGGTTTATTCCTCCTACACTGCAGGTAGCTAAATGTATTCTTTCATTTTATTAAGTTGTATGACAGCCTAGCCACTGCAGTTCTCTTATCCCTTTTTTTTTTCTCACAGAGTTTAATGTTTACTTAAAAGCTACTTTTGATTCTGGTCCTAACATCTGGGATTTTGTATGCCTTTGGTTCCTTGCCTTCCTATATTATTTCAATTCCCTGTGCAGTCATATTTTTGAATATTTCTATACACTTATGAAATCAGATTAAATTAGGATGGAAAATCAACCAATATAATATGCTTTAGACTAAGCATGGAAAAAATTTTTTTTTTTCAATTCGTAAGAAAAATCCATTGCGAGTCTCTCTGTTACATACTTTTACAGAATAGGTGTGTATGTGTAATAAGAGTAACCATACATACTCTGTTACAAGTAATTCACTAATACTTACATGAGTTGGTGATGGCTGTGTCTCAAAATTAGGGCTAGTATACTTTGCAGTTTACTCTGCTAGTGTTGTTGCCCAGTCGTGGTGAGTGTCTGACTTTCTGTGGCCTGTTCTAACTCTGTCTGGGATGAACAATATGGAATGTCTTTTGAGTCAAACACGGCCGTTATGCTCTCTGAGGAGCTGTAATGGATAAATTTACTCTGTAAAGCTCAAATGAAAACAAAATATATTACTACTTGTAGATAGTTCCATTCATAGTACTGCTTATATGACTTCCCATTAAGACGTGAAGGATATTAATTTCTCTATTGTAAGGATACTATAGGTATATACTATATAGGTGGTCCTGCATTTTCCTATTGAAAAGATTTTAATTCTTTTTTTAACTGAGAAGTTGTTATAATATGCTGCATTAGTATAAGTTTTAAAATTAAGAATAATTGTTAAATGGAATTTCATCACATGTTAAATTATTCAAGAAGTAGTGCTGTTTTATTTTTACTGGTTTTATTTTTAATGAACTTTGCTTTAACCTTAAATAAATTATTTGGAGCTAAGGAGTTTGTAATACTCCAGCATAACTCATGTCTGCCTTTTGTATTTGTTTTTGCCATCCTAGAAGCATAATTGTGTTGCATAAAAGCTTGATGCATTTATTTAACCTAGTACGCAACTGTTCAGAGCTGAATTTCTAGCATAATAATACTGGGTGAATTATGTCTTGTGTTGGCAGCTGTACCATTTTGTCTAAATCTGGGATAGAGTCACAAAACGTGTATAAATGTAGCATTACCAGTGGGAATGCTGAGTTAATGCTCCCCAAGAGGGCAAAGAGAGGATTGACTTAGCGATTAAAGGTGAGAGGTCAGCTCTGCAGTGTGTGAAACAGAGTCAGAGGTGTGGTGGGAAAACAGTTATAGTGCCAACAAAATGTCTGCTGAAGGTTAGGCAACCTGTTATATTTGTTAATCAAATGCTAGTCGTTTGCTGTGTATTTAAATATAACACTTACAGACCCTATTGCAGCATAATCTGTATGTGGCATAATCTCTATGTAACATAACCCATAACTGATTGCAAATTGCAGTACAAATTACAGCAAGGTTATACTACAACCCTACTTGAAATATTATTTGAACCTCAAAAACTTTTCAAAGATTTAGGGGCATTTTGGCCTGTAGGAAAGAGAGTTAAGCCTTCTGTTGTTCCATATTTCTCTTCTTATTTTTCCTTGTGAATGTATTAGATTTTCTAGTATTTTTCTGGTTTATATCTGATAGTAATCAACAGTATTGCACAAACTTCCTTCTACATGCAAAGTTAAAATTTCAAAGTTTATGTATGTTTTCTAAGTTATATCTATGATATCTTGATTGATTCCATTACTTCTGTCTCTTGCCTTCAAGAAATACTTAAGTGTCAATATAATTCACTCCAATGAAGCAGACTATGATGCTTTTCATCTGTATACTCTAAAGGAAGTTGTTGTTTCAGGTGTTCGGGGGGAAAAGAATTAAGTGGTAGAATTTTCAAGCTGGGGAGGGCACAGGGAGAAATCTAAGCTAAATCTTTGATGGTGTTTGGTTGTCGGGGGAGGGCGCGGGGAGCTTAGTTTGTTTGGTATGGGAGTTTATGGTTTGGTTGGGTTTTGCCCTGGTAGACAATACCGCTTATTGTGCCATTTGAAATTCCCTGTACAGCAGTCCACCTGCTTATTCAGTAAACCACTTCAGGGTAAAGCATTAATTACGTATTTTTTCAATAACTATTTTTATTCCTACAAAATAATCATTATGTTCTAATTCAAATAGTGGTATTTTAAATTGGGCGGGGGGGGAAGGAGGACAATAGTGCTTAAATCTAAAAGACTAGTTTTCTTAAAATCTGGACTTCTTAACACTGGACTTCATAATTTTAATTTTTTTTCCCCTTATATCCCCCCCTCCCCCTCTTTTCTTTTTAACCTCCTTTATAAAGCTTTTTCTTCCCATTTTCCTAATTTGGGTGCTTTCCTAAATGGCAATGAATAAGCTCCTCTTTAACTAGGCATTGTCAGATAAATCCTCTGAAGGACTCTTTTGCACTGTTTTGATGTTTAAAAGAATTTTAGTGTAAAGGTAGCCTGAAATATTTCTCCATCTCCTTTTCTCCTCCTGACAACAGTATATCTGTTGCTTAATTCAACATATCCAAAATAAAAGGATAGTTGGTAGGTTTTTACTTTTAATTTTGACTTACTAAAAATATAACTGTTTACTTTTTTCTAGCTTTGAGGTCTGTCTCTGTCTTTACTATGAAGAAATGTTCTTCAGTGCATATATAACATCCAGCACTTACTAGCTCGTGATGCTAACTTAATTTACGTATAAACTACATAAATGCAGAAGTTGAGTGCAGAAGGTGTATTTATTTATACAGAAGAGTATAAGGGATGAAAATAGCTTTGGGGGTTTTTGTTTTTTAATCTTTCTTGCTTAAAATATATAAATCTAAACATAATTGGCATATAATATATTTATGCCTTTTAAAATATAGGTAATAGGGGTTTTTACTAAGTTATATATCTTTGTTCAGTGATCAAATATTTGTGTGTGGAGTCTAATGTTAAATATTTTTTCTTTTACGTTTTTCCTTGCAGATTTGTTCCTTACTACATCACCAAATTCACAAAACATTCAGTTTGAGACATGGGTAAATAAGGTAAGAGAGGAAAATCCAAATAATCTTTCTGTTAAAACACAGACAAGTTTTTAAAAAAAGAAGTCATCTGCTATTCCTTGTTTGAGGAATGAGTGGAGTGGAACGTGTGTTGAAGCACTAACTGCACTATTGCATTTAGACTGCAGAATATCGCTGGAGATGTTTTACTTGGCCCAAGTTCCTCTGTAGATTTTTTTTTTTTTTTTTTTAACATGACTACTAAGTAAATCAATCAGACTGCCTTCATACACTTTAGCAGGACTCCTGGGGTGCCATCAGCTGTTCTAGGAAGTTACTGACACTGGTGATTTATATAGATAAGGCTGATCAGATTTTTATTCTTGCTGTCTCAAAGATTTGATTTCTTTAAGTAAGTTTTCTTAGAACTGTGACTTCAGGTCTTGGGTAAGATTCTGTGGGACAGAGGTTCCAAGTCTCACTTCTACCTGTTACAATTGAGTTACAGTTGAGAAAATCCTTAGTTGTATGTTAATCAAGTATCGCAAATGCTATTCAAGGTTGTGGAGAAATAAGTCAATGGATTATTTTTTAAAATTTATTTATTTATTGAGATTCTGCTTTTGTATTGCCTAACCCAGCCAGGGTCTGTGAAGAACCTTGTTGTTAATAACAATTAATGAAATGAATTGATTTGAAACTTAAGTGTATCCTTTATACTAAATCTGTTCTCCAAAAGGACTATAATTAAGAATATTAGCATGTGTATGTTAAAAGTTTACTCTTTTTGTTATTATAGAAAGTGCTTAATGTGTTTCTTATTAGCTAAGGAATTAGTTTTTGAAGCTTTATTTACCCAAAAATTTATAATAAATAAAAATATAAATTTGTAATAAAAAATAGCTGCCAGATATCCTCCAAATACTAAGTTTTAGGCAAAAATAATGAAAGCTGCACTAGACATTTTTTTTTTAAAGCAGCAGGTCATAAATTTTAGATTTCTAGCTTTTATAGAGACTTAAAAATGGACAGTTTTGGACTTTGACGAATTTAATTTGAGTGACTACACAAGGCATTTAACACGTCTCCTGTAGGCATACATCTAAAATATATGTGCATATATATCAATCTTAAAATACCTTAATTGATCCATTAAAAGCTGTTAAATTGTTCTACAAACCTAGGCAAAGTAGTTCCCTTCACTGATGCACCAGAAAATGATTTTAAATTATTTGCCTATATGATACATGCTTTTCTGGCCAACTGAGCACAGGTCCTAGTTTTCTTTTTTGCACGGAGATGCTTTGCATCAATTTTTAATTTTTTTTATTTTTCCTTGCATCTGAGTCACTATAAATTATATAGTCAAGGTAAAGAGATACAGTCACATCCACGTACTGTCTCCAGAGTTGCATCTTCAACAACACTGAAGTCTACAAACTGAGCATGACCTGAGTAAGCAATATGGGTAACTGTACATAACCCACAAAACAGTATCATTTGTTTCAATGGCTTTAACATATTCTTGTGTGCATAGCACCTTATATGAGCTGACTGCAACACTAGAAAAGTGGGCCTTAGGTCAACTTACTTGGCTATGAAAACTTAGCATTTCAAATCGTTTTGTTCCAGTTCTGATCCAGTTCTATGATAAATGAGGATCCAGCACTCCTCTCTTGTCTTTCAGAGGAAATACTGGAATATTGTTTTCTGCAGGCGTAGGTTTTAATAGTAGACAATTAAAACAAGACCTAAACGAGACTTAATGTAAAATCAAGTTATTTCGTAATTAGAAGGAAAATCTGAAGCTATTTTTAACAGGTGGGCAGGTGTGTTTTTATATATTGCATGTATCTATAAAATCATGTCAATATGCATAAATGCACATTAGTATTCATAATCAATTAATTATGGTTTAGATTATGCTGCTGAAATAACCCGGTCTCTTTCTTATAACACAGCAAAATATACAGACAATTGTATCTGAATATTACTCTTACTGGATTTCCATAAGATTCCATGAAGAATTAGAAATGCAAAAACTCAGTCCCCATTTTCAGAGTGCATTTTTTTTTTCCATAGCTGAGATGTGTCTTTATTATCTACTTAAGCACTGTTTTATTAACGTGTATTTTCTTTGGTTCAGAAGTCAAATTTTATCGCTTAGTCTGCAATTCAATTTTTCTGTCTCTTGTCCTGTTTGATAGGATGGGAACTTCTCTAAACTTGAAAAAAGTAAGAAAGCACCTAGCGGTGTGGAAGTTGTTGGACAATCCGTGTTTGCAGATTTTGGTGAGTTTTATTCTTCTGAACTATCCTGAGTGTTTCTTTCCTTTTCATGTTTTGGTTAGCTACTCTAAATCAAAGAACAAATAAAGCTCTAAAAGTTGGGGTGTTTTAACTTTTTGTCTTTGAAATGTTACATCAGTTTGATTGTATATCTTGAAATATCTGGGAATAATTATTAATAAATTCAACTAAATTAAACTTTGGCTATCCCAGTACATTCTGCGTCACATGTATCTACTTTTGAGTGCCACATTCAAGGACTGTGACTTTAAGGCGTGGTACAACAGCAAACAATTTTATCCACCTGTATTTTGTTTGTAATGATTTTGGGATTTTTTCCTTGGTCTTGTTCAGAAGACATTACTTGAGGAAATATTCATAAATTCTTTACCTGTACAAATGACTAAAGCCAAAATGTAAGTAAATTAGAATTACTTGAGTAAAGATTGATGAAACATGGTAAAATCGTAATGGTTGTAATTGAAAATTCTGGAAGGCTTTTGGACAGAAGAAAAGCTTAACTTATATGTAAATCTATTTTTGCAAGAGTTAGTGAAAGCCTGTATTTTTCTATTAGAATGTACTTTTTCAGTCAATTGTGGCTTATCAATGTGTGTGTCATGCTATGGGGAATAGGAAATGTTGGTTTTGTAGTCCAAAAAAACCATTTGTTTTCCTGTGCACTAAAATAAGAATTTTGCAACCTGAGGGAAAGGGCTACAGGCCTGATTCTGCTGACCCTATTGAATGTAAATAATTTCTTACAGAACTAATTTACTATATTTATACCAATGCTTATTAATTATGAGACCAAGCCTGTCTTTAAATGTTGGCAAATGGTAGCCTTGTCACATCATTTTGGTTTAAAATCTGTTTTAAAGAAAATGACAATTTTTTAAATTAAAAGTCAGATTCTGTATTAGACACAGAGTCAAATTCTCATGCTCTACGCTGCCACTTAGAAGTATCCTTAAGAGTTCTAGCAAAGTTCTTTACTGAAGTGTAACTAGAAGACACCTCTGCTGGGTAGTTAATTATCCTCAGATCCTTCTCTAGCAACTATGGATAGCTTTACAGATCTATAGTAAATAGAATAAGGTAGAAGCTGAACAATGCTGTAGGTTCTTCTGTGAAGTGTTTAACGTGTTTTAGAAAATATTTGTAAAAGTTCCTGTAAAATCTTTTACTGTTTATCTACCAATACAAAACACTTGTGTATATAATGTCTGAAGGAAAGAATAGAATACTACAGGTTTTGCAATTTAAAAAAAAAAATAAATGTCTTTGGTTTTTGTAACCATTTTCCAAGCTGATGTTCTGAATAATGTGTCTTAATGGATACTAAGTAGAAATCTGTGGGGTTTCTTTTTTTTTTTTTTTTCTTAAAGATTGCAATGTGGAAAGTGATCTTTATGCAGGATAATTTTTATCTCTATGTTAGGTAGCTAATGAGCCCAAATGATATACCATAATTCTAGAAGCTTATCATAATTAATGGAATTTTAATAAACCCTGGTATGTCTTTGCAAAGAGAAGTGGAACTGTTCAAATGCTACGGTTAAAAGTTTGAAAATATGAATAAATTGAATGCGTGGTAATACAGCAGTGCAGTACACTGTGTGGTTTTGGTACAGCCGAGGTCATGAAAGACAATGGCTGGTATAGCTGGCATAGCTGCGGGGGGCTGCTGTTTTGGAGTTTCATCACCAGTTATTTAATACCCTGCTCTGCTAATGATCATCAAATTCATAAGCAAAGCACTAGTGTGAGGCAATACTGGAGCAGTCTTTCTAGTAAGGATGAATATAATTGGAGAAATGTGTGCAGGGACTTAAGAAATGCATGCAAATGAATGTAGAGGGCAAGTATATACAGCAAAGTAGACAGAGGCAAGTATCTATGGGAGGAGATGTTGGCTTTTCAGAAGCTGAATTTTTGAAACTAGTTATTCTGAAAGATCTCAGCTATTTCATCTCTAAGAGAGAACACCCAGCACAGATCTTGCAGTATGAGGGTCTTGCTTTCTCTTCCCGAACAGCTGCATACACACTATCTGTCATCTCTGTCTTCATTCCAGATCACTCAGGTTCATCCAGGGTGAAGGACAGGAAATTGTTTAATGGTCTTTCTGCCCAATGATTTTCCTAAGCAAGTGAAGAGATTGCTATAAATGTACGTGTGTGTCTTGATAGTTGTCACTGAACTTTGTTCCTCTACTGAAATACTTAATGAATTTTAAATCATAGTTATGTTTGAGTACTATTACAACCTTAATTAATTTGCTTCTGTTGTTACAGTGGGTAGGAAATAGAGTAGTGCATCATTTATTTTTTTTTTCATCTTCCCAGCATTAATTTAAAATAATTAAGACAACAAATAGTTATTTTCTCATGGAACAAATTTTTAGAGAATATTGAAGTGAACATGGTACTAAAACAATGTGTATAGGTAATGAAGGGATATTATTCTAAATTCCGTGTTCTTTGTGAAATGCAGTCTGGAGAAAGTTGAGTAATACCCTACTACCATGCAAAAATCCTACCTAGAGTGAAACAGTGTAAGAGTGGCTATACAGTAATTGGTAGGAGGGAAAAAAAAAAAAACAAAAAAACACACACCATTTAATGCAAAGGAGGATCTTAGTTGAGTTCTGCTCATGTTCATTTTCATTCCAGTGTTTTTTGTTCCACACCAGTCTAGCAATAAAGAGGTAAAAATCTCACATTACTGGAATAACACTGTATCAGAATGACTACATTTACCCACTTTGTTATGTCTGCATGTGTTTAGAGACTTCAGAAGGTAGGCATTTATCATACAGATTCTACTTGTAGTGAGCTAAAGTTAAAGAAAATGCCGTACTAGAAATGGTTTGTCAGACTTCAACATCTCTTTTTTTCAGTTTTCCATCTCAAAAATGATGAAATGATGATTGTCGTAAGTCAAAAGGAAGTTAAGGTATAATGGTTTGCAGTTTGGAATCATAATTTGGCTATCTGTAATGAGGCCTGAAAGAGGTTTCATTGCACAACAAATCAAAGTAGCGCAATGAAAACGTACAATGAGATGCATGAGAAGATTGCGCTACCTTCTACCTGAGTAGCTTTTGCCCAGCTGTGTGCGGCACACTAAGCAGGACATACCATGGCGTGCTCGCTCTGCTCTGGGCATATTGCAGGCATCTGCCCTGTTCGCACTGGGATACAGGTGCTGTGACTACAAATGTGTGCAATATACAGTCACAAGCCTGTTACATTCTTATTTCTGTGTTCCCAGCCTCTATTTTCCGCTCCTTTCTTGACATTTTCTCTACCTCTTAGCTGACATGCAGACTTGCCATTCGCTAAAGGTCTCAAAGGATTCCAGGTTTCTCTGTGCTTTCACTCTCTGCTGTGTCTCATTTACTTAACCTTGTGCATATTAGACTCTGGAATGATGTCAGGTCCACACGTGAGCTTGGGACTGTCAGGTGTGGTGCTGCCTTCCTCATGTACACCCGCCTTTCTATTTGTACTCTGTTGCACTTCTGGAATCCAAGATTCTGATTTATTGATCACACCTACATATTAGCAAAACATGTACTGTTTCAAAAGGTGACGTTGCCTAACTTTATTTCCTGCTTCTAAAAGTTTTATTCGAAGCGGGGAGCTTTGAGTAAGATCCTGACTGAGATCCTCCAAAGGCAACTAATTTTGGGTAAGGTTTCCTTTGTTAAACTAAGCAGGTTGAACAACAGCTGTGAAGTAGAAACTATTTACATAAGTGGAGTTGGAAAAAACAGCAATTAGGTGACTCATGAGAAACTGCCACAGATGTTAGTGTATTCTTAGCACCAAGTGTTCCTGAAGTACTCAAATAATAAAAATAGATTTTTTTTTCATGAGAAAGATACATAAATGTATGTTTGTATGCATCTATATATATATGTATCTGTAAGGTCTAGTACATTTCTGTATATATGTGTGTGTGTGTATTTTAATGGAAAAATATGCAAAAGCAGGTGTATATATGTATCTCAATATAGTAATGTAATAGACCTTAGAGTTCATCTAAATTGGAACCTCTAAAATAATTAGCACTCCCCTTTGTTATGTGATAGCAATGATTTGTACATTAACCTAACCAAAGGACAGGGAAAAATTGACAAATTTTTACTGCCCTTTTAAAAATACATCAGAAATGCTTTGTGACATATTTATTACAAATGGCATTTCAATTGATTAAGGTGAGCAGAGCTGGGCAGTAGAGAATTCTCACTTATTTGGCTGACACATTGCTCCAAACAAGTAAGAGCTCTTCATTATTACTACTTCTATTCTTCTCATGTCACTATGGTAATTGCAGTGCAGTGGTTGCTATAGCAAAAATGATTAATCCTCCATTGCTGTTATCTCTGTGCTAGCAGAAGATTTTTATAAGATCTGCTTGTACTGTCTTTAGGGGAAATCATAGATATTGGCTAGAATCCTGATAAATATTTGCAATTATAAAGAATTTCAATAATTGTCACTTAAAATAGTGGAAAATTTTGTATTTGTTAAAGAAATTTAAGGATTTCAGTGGGATGCTCTGAAAACTGCAGATTTTTTTAATTTTTTTTTTAGTAACAAGATGAATGTGAACCATATTTTGGGCACATAAACCTGCTATTTTCTTGTTACTTTGAAGATTAATGAAATGGTCTTTAAAGTAGTGACCCCGAAGCAATTAGCATAGACTATTGTGCTGTTTATACAGTCCATTAATTCATTTTTATGGGAAATTAATGTTATAATTGCTATTCAACTATGATTGGTTCAGTTGGATAGAGGAGATTGATAAATCATCCTTTGTGATACCTGATCTAAGAATGTGAAAGTTTGATTAATCAGTCACTGATTTTGCTTAGTTTAGGCAAATACATTTGTTGTGGCTTGTACATAAAGAAAGTAAGAAACAGCTTTTCGAAATCAAACTTGATCATACTGTTGACAGCGTCCTGAAGAGTAAATACAACACAACTC